TGAGAAGTAGACATATGACCAAAGAGGAGACCAAGAATGTGGCCTGGCATAAAAGGAGCTGAACCAATCCGAGCCTTGTGCTCAGGAGTTACACTTCAGAAGCTGAAATGATGCACAGAAAGAATCCTTGAGGCAGAGCCTGGACCACGAGTGGTCAACATTTAAGAGAAAGCAGAACTAAGTGAACAGGTACAACCTATGAAAAAGGTTGCAAATCATAAGGAGCTGGATCAAGCCCACAAATGCATCTTGTGGCCTGCACAGTATATTACCATTTTTGAAATGACACCCAGCTTGTGGTCTCTAAAATACCACTCCTCACAAAAAGGAACCAGAACTCCTGGAGGAATAGCTGCTTCCAGATTGGGAGTTGGACATACAATAGATGAACCTAGGACACCTTACTGTTCCACAAAACAGGGAAACTATCAAAGTCTAATAGGACTGTGTCAAAAGAATATGGGGGCTAGAGACGTGAGAACATAGGAATGAATGCAACTGACTGAAACAATGACTCTATCAACAGAAACAAACAATGACAAAAAATGATTTCAGAAAAATAGTTAACCCTCTGGGCAACACTGGAAATGACAAGGGCAATAATTCCTTTCTGAAAAATGTTAATGTAAAGAAATGAACTCTGCATTTTTCTTTCCTTTCCTATGTGAATTATAAATTTAGGGTAATGAAATGGTCTTAATTGATATGTAAATTCTTTAAGAATAATCCCAGTTAGCCCTGGCTGGTATGGCTCAGTGGATTGAGTGCTGGCCTGAGAACCACAAGGTCATAGGTTTGATTCCCCGTCAGGGCACATGCCTGGGTTGTGGGCCAGGTCCCCAGTTGGGGGCATGTGACAGGCAACCAATTGATGTAGCTCACGCACATCAATGTTTTTCTCCTTTTCTTTCTTCCTCCCTTCCCCTCTCTCTAAAATTTTTTTTTCAAAATAATAATTCCAGTTAATAAATACGGAAGGAACAATAGAATTAGAAAATCATTTCATAACCTTAATGAAACAATACACACATCAGTCATCAATGCATGCATAAGAAAACAATTAAAGGGCACCTTTGAAGTGGAGGCTTCAGGATGCTGTCACCTCAGTAGACACAATAATGGCACCCCCTACTCGCCACATACCGTCCAAAATGCATCCTGTGAATGCTATTTTACATGGCTAAATAAGTTTTGGAGGGGTGGTTAAAATAAGGGTTTTGAGATAAAGAAGCTATCCTAAGGACACGTATAAGGGAAGGAGGAAAGCGGCAGAGTCAGATGAGATGATGGAAGCAAAAGGGGGAGAGAAAGAGTTGGAGATAATTCGCTACTGGCTTTGAACATGGAAGAAGGAAGGAGTCACCAGCCCAAGAATGCAGGTGATCTCCAGAAGCTGAAAAAGGCAAGAAAATTAATTCTTCCCTAGAGCCTTCTCATAAGATGAGAAGGAACACAGCCCTGGTGCCACTTTGATTTTAGGACTTATGACCTCTAAAACTGCAAGATAAATGTTTTAAGCCTCTAAGTTCATGGAATTTGTTACGGCAGCAGTAAGACACTAATACACACACACCTGAACCCACTGATCAATCTTAGCAGCACCATGGGGCACACACAGCACTGTGTGCTCAGCCGTGATGCCACATCAAGTACATGACAGCACCCATGAAGAACCCGCACCAAAAAGATAAACTTGCGTTTAATTACATTTTCACATCCAATTCCTTTTATAAGAAATGTAGGGGACAGAACTGGTTAAATGACACCTCAAGGAAGCAGACAGACAAATCCAAAACATAGGACATTCTTCAAAAACAACTGACTCCAACAATGTAACTGCAAGCATAAAATAAAGGGAGGGCCAGTGGATGGCTCTAGATTAAAGAGACTTGAGAGCTGACAAACTAATTTTAAACAGATATTTTTAAGACAAGTGGAGAAATCTGCATATACTCTGGGTGTTACTAGATGGCAAAAATTCTTAATAATCATGTGAGGTATGATCATAGGTGCCTAACATTGTGATTATGTTCATGGTTTTTTTTAAAAAGATTTTATTGATTTATTTTTAGAGAGAGGGAAAAGCAAGGAGAGGGAGAGAAACATCAATGTGTGGTTGCCTCTTGAGCACCCCCGACTGGGGGACCCGGCCCATAACCCAAGCATGTGCCCTGACTGGGAATTGAACTGGCAACCCTTTGGTTTGCAGGCCCACCCACACTCAATCCACTGGGCTACACCAGCCAGGGCATGTGTTCATGTTTTTAAGAGATTTACGTATAAGTATGCAGGACTAAAATACCATGTCATCTGGGATTTATTTTAAAACAATTCAGTATAAAATGAGAAAGGGGAAGCAGTTAAGATAAAACAAGACTGGCAAGATGTCTGCAGTATGTTGAATCTGGGTATTGGGCATATGGTCAACAGACTCTGCTCTTCTCCACAAAACTGAAAACAAACCAACATCTAAACCAATTTGAATTAGTTGGTGACATTAAAAAAATGTCACCAGGACCTTTCACATAAAAATCCAGATTTCTGCCTTCATCTGAAAAATCAGATGTGGCACCATGACCCATATCAAGAGATGAGTCCTGGCCACTCCAAATTAGTTTCCAATACTCTCAATTATCTCCCATATCACCACTGCTGCTGTTTTTCTTACACCTGGCTCAGTTCATGCGTTGATTTTTACCTGCTTGACAACTGGGTTTAGGAACACAAGAGTAGTGCGATTTAGCAGTTTAGTAGCCAGAGAACAGAGCAGATGTGGGGAGAGCAACTGAGTAATGGCAATATGCTATCATGTACATATACAGACTCCTGCTGTTAGCATTCCTTCAGCAGCTTTGGATATATACATAAGGCAATGCTACACTATGCTTCCTATATTTATTAAGTGCTTACTAGAAGCAAGGCAGTAAGTATACTTGACATTCTGGAAAATACAAACATGAAAATAATTCCTGCCCACAGGATACTAATGGTCTAATAAGAAAGACAAGGCATAAACATAAGTGGTTTTAAGATGAAAATAAGTGAGGTTAGGGTACTATTCAGGGTGGCTCATATGTAAAATGAAGAGTGGAGAGCGACAAAGTACTATATAAAACCTCAGGAACAGATCATGAAGTGCACCACAGGGCATGTTGGGAAATTTCAACTTTGTCAGATGAGGCCTGGCTAGTGTGGCTCAGTGCACTGAGCGCCAGCCTGTGAACCAATGGGTCGCCCGTTCCATTCCCAGTCAGGGTATATGTCTGGGTGGCAGGCCAGGACCCCAGGTAGGGGCGTGCGAGAGGCGACTAACTGATCAATGTATCTTGTACATAGATGTTTCTCTCCCTCTCTCTAAAAATAAATAAAATCTTAATCTTAAACTTTATCAGATGAGCAATAGTGAGCCTCTGAAAGCTCTTAAAATGTACATAAGTACAAATCAGAGGAGGCAACACTGAGGATGACAGCAAAGTCTCTTTTGTTGTTCAAATTCTCTGATTCTATGCACTGATTCCATTCCATTCTCTGATTTCCTTTGAAAAGCCAGAAGCATAACCCCCAAAATGTTGTATTCAAGCCTCTAACATTAGGCCATCATGGCTTTCTTGGTCAGAAATCAGTGTGGTATCTGAAGAGACTAATAAAAGGATAGGTCACTGAACAATAGACCTGAAAAGAGTTTCTCTCTATTATCACGATTGGCTTCCAATACTTTAAACAGAAACCGTGGTGCTCTTATACCTAAGTGCTATTTAAAAAGTAAAAATACGTCTTCCTGTTTAGTCTAAGACACATTCTGTTAAAAACAAAAACAAAACCACGTGCTTACTGTGAATGAATAAAATTACCTAGGAAACAATCAATCTTGACTGATACCAAATTATATTAACTTTCAAAGCACAATCTGGTCACCCAAATGGCAAAATGGGACCAAACTGGGCATGATGGAGGTAGTTGTCACCGCTAGAGCATCGTTGAAATTTACTTAAAACTTGGCCAAGTAGCCCAGGCTGGCGTAGCTCAGTGAATTGAGCGCGGGCTGCGAACCAAAGTGTCGCAGGTTCGATTCCCAGCCAGGATACATGCCTGTGTTGCAGGCCATGACCCCCAGCAACCGCACATTGTTTCTCTCTCTTTCTCCCTCCCTTCCCTCTCTAAAAATAAATAAATAAAATCTTTACAAACAAACAAACAAAAACTTGGCCAAGTCCAGACTCTGGGGTACCAGGAAAGAAAGGACTAGAGACTGAGACCATCTGTCACCAATAATTGACTTTAGTCACCACAGGAATTACCAATAAAAAGTAAGGAGAGAACAAAATTCCAGCACTTTTCTTTCACCTTACTTAACTCCCAAACTAAGAATCAATTCCAGCTCTGGCATCAGTTTATCCTACTACCTCTCTGAGCCTCAATTTCCGTATGTGTAAAATGAAGCTAGTAAGTATCTGCTTCACAGAGGAGTGTACGAACTAAATGGGCATGTACGTGAAGTAGCACAAGATCTGATCTGACACACAGCTAGTGTTCAGTAAACTACAGGTCTCATTCTTCACCGTAAGCTTCAACGCCTCCATTAATTATCTCCCTGCAGGTTTCAATGTCTTATGATGCCAACTTGATGCCAACTGCAACAAATATTCCCCGTCCGAAGTTTCTTCGAAGAACCAAGTTACAGTTCAAAGTACCTAAGACCAGAACAAATAGAGGGTCGCCCCAGCTCAGCTGTCACCACATCCGCCGAGGCCACGCGTCCCTTCTTCGGTTCCCCAGCATTGGTGCCCAGCCCCGCCCCGCGCCCGCCAACCAGCACGGCGCGGAGTGGAAACCGCCCCCTCCACCCCTCCACCCCTCCACGGCGCGGTTTCCACCCGGCGCCCACAGCGCTCGGGGGAGGCCAGGCCGCCCTCTGGGCCTCCCCAGGCCTGACACCCCCCTCCACCCCTAATCCTCGGCCTCCCTTGGCTCAAGGTCTTCCAGCTCCGCCCAGCCCGCACCTTGAGGTGGGTGCGCAGGCCGCCAACGCCCCCAGATTGGTCGTTGATTTCGTAGGCGCCGGTCACCAGTAGGTCCTTGTGGATCTCCTCGCGGAGGCACTTGCGGGAGTTCACAGGAAGATGGAAAGAAATGGCGAAGACCGATCTGGGGACGAGCAGGAGAAACACCAGCAACGCTACCGGGCCAGGCCTACGCTGGGCTTGCGGGCCAGACAGGCCAGACAAACCAGACATGGTGCCGGAGACTGTTCACCACCCGAGCCTCTACCGCGCCGGAACCGGGACGGCCCACGTGACTCACCCCTGACCCACAGATGGCGCCGGCGCCATTTTGGAGACTGGCAAATAGAAGAAGAATGTATAATAAATCTTTTGAAAGGGAAGAAGGACTGTGATACCACGTCACACCCACAAGTTAGAGTGGTTACGTAAGATTTTTCTAGAATCTTCCCATAGATCTGTTATTTTTGTTGAGTTCGGTGACTGTTCAGTCAGCCATAGCAAGCAAGGGCAGACCTGGAAGTAATCCTTCTTAAACCTACGGAAGCAGTGCCAGCAAATTTTAGTCTGATGAAACCATAGCAACCAAGCCCCAATGGGAAACGGCCACAAGGCCCTTTTCTGGACCAGCGGGGAAGCCACGAACGTAGCGCGCGGGGCGGAGCGTGTGTATTCCCTTTGCCTTGCCTCCCTGTGTGACAGTTGGGCCACTGACAATTTGACCAAACTTCGGCAGGCTGAGCGGAAAGATTCTATGGCTATGGGGCGAGCGGGCGCCAGTACCTCAGAGAAGGTGTAGAGGTCCCCTGGTGAGTGTGAAGTGGACAGGTGGTGAATCCATGCTCTTAACCGACATGTGGGCTGGAGTAACGGCTCTCTGAATATGCATTTTATTTAGCGAACATCGAGCGCCTTTAGTATGCTAGATAACGTACAAACTAACTTTGGATTTTGAATTTCAGTTGAATAAAAAACCGTGTTTTAGTCCAGTCTCAGGGATGGAGCTAATTTGGTTTGCCAGGTGAACGTTGTCAAGGGAAAGCAAATGTTTGCGTTTTAAAGGCACAAACATTTTAGGGATCAAGTTTGCTAGTCTTCAGTAGCCAGATGTACACAGTAATCAAACGTTCGTTTAACAAATATTTATTGAGTACCTACTCTGTGCCAGATGCTATACCATGCGTGTATACCAATGTTATTGATTGACCAGACCACTGCAGGGGTGCTATCAAATATTCAGGGCTGAAGAAAATATGAAAATGAAAAAGAACTACATAACAGCCTGTGTTTGGAAGCATCTACTTTGGGTAATGTTTATTGAACATCTACAGAAATACCCAGAGGATGGTAATTAAAGTGAATGCTCTATATTTATAACCCCTTTCAGACCATCTAGTTCTTTTCCTGGAAATGAAGTCCCACAAACAACACAAGAACAAACAAAGGAGCTGCGAAGCATTTAAATTTTTTACCAATATCACGTTGTAACTCTTATTAAGTGTCCCCTTAGGAACATTTAGTTTGATTGTTTTATCTCTGATCTAAGATAAGATTGCTAGTCTAGTGGTACATCCTCACCATTTTTCCTTGGCCTTTCCCCTGCAGGGCGAACAGTCAGCACCAAGCAGCCGAGTCCTTCATTGTTTATTCTCAGTCCGGAGGCTCTGCTGACCATCAGCAAGAGATTTGCAATCCATACCCTAGTTGTGTGTGTTTTTCCTTCAAATTCCTATCCTACATTTAGGTAATAGTTATCTACATTTTTAACTAGTTTCACGTATCTCATGTGACATTTTCAAAAACCATGCGACATAGGCTGGGCAAGTTCATTCATGTCACAGGGAAGGTTCTGACAGTCCAAAGAAATTCTGAGAGGCCAAAGTCCCATAGTTTAAAAGGGCCACAGTCAGTGTAAGGGCCTGAGCCTTCTTCAGGAAGGCACTATTATTTATTTTACAGATGAAAACATTGGGGCTTAGAGAAATTATTACTTTCCTAAATCACTGCTCTCAAGTCCTTTCTGGTCCTGTAGTCTCAGTCGTCTAACACTTTCTTGTCCCTCTTCCTTCTTTTATATTTTCCTCCTTAGCACTCACCACTATCTAATATAATATGCATTCTATATATATCGTGTTTATGAATCTGTTTCCCTAGCTAGGTTATCTATTTGTGAGGGGCAGGGATTTTTATCGATTTTGTTCACTGTGTCATCTTCTGAATCTAAAATAGTGCCTGGCACTTAGAAAGCAAAATAAATAGTGGTTCAAGGAAGGCCGAGCAGAAGGCCTAATAGCAAATTCCTTACATTATCCCTCATGTTTTCACACAAATCCATAACATATCTAAAGTGTAGGTGTGGTTTCAGTTTCATCAATAACATGCATAGCTTGTATTTGAGTTGAAAAATGTGTTCTTGTTTCCAAATAAAGACAAAAAAAAAAAATCTCCCCTCTCTGTTATGGAACTACGGGACAGAGTAGATACTCCTAGGGAACCCAGCCTTATAAATTGCACCTGCATGAAAAAAAGGTACCATTCTACATCTGTGAGGGGAAAAGGCCTCATTTTGAATGGGGGAGCAAATGGAAAGTGTCCCAAAACTAAAGAAAATGTTCCTTCCTGGCCTAAGACTCCTCTGCCATCCCTTCATCCTCAAACTTCCCCAGCCAGACCCACCTGAGATTCCCTAAGCCCCATGAGCCTCTGGAGGTAAAGACACGTCACAAGGACACATCCCCTGCTCTTAAGTCTGTCCTTAACCCCAGATTTCTCAACCTTGTGTTTGCATGATAGAGAGAGCGTGTTTAAAAACACCTCTCCCTGGACAGTGAACCTGAAGCTCTCATTGAAAATCTGCATTGTGATAAGCTTGTTGGGCGATTCTGTGGCTAGGAATCCGTGGAAGCGCTTGTGACCTCTCAAAGCCTCCTCATTCCCCAGTGTGGCTTGAGATCCCCAGCTGCAAAGCAAAAACAGTCAAGGATTCCTAACTCCAGTCCCCCCCGCCCCGACTCATGTGTCCAGCCCTACTCACTGTGTATTTAAATAGCTAAAACAAGATGGGTTCTATGAAGATACAAAAGACCCTTTTGGAAAGCAATTGGGCAATATTTCTCATGTGTCATGCTTTTTGACCCACAGACTGATTCCAAGGACCTCCTTTATGGGTCTCTTAAATTCAGAGCCCCCAATGTGCTGGTCCTGGAACTTCTGTGCTGCACTCTAGGTGATCTCATCCAGTCCCATGACTGCAAATGCACCCATGGACCATAACCCCCCAAATGTGGATCTCCAGCTTTGACCTCTCCCCTAAATGCCAGAGTCTGTATTGGGCTCCCTAGTCGACATCTCCACTTGGATGACTAATTGGCAACTCATACTTAACTCTTAATTTCCCCTTCTCCCCCACTCCCAAATCTACTTCTTCCCCATCTCAGTAAATTACACCACCTTCTACTTCTTCACTGAGGCCATCCTTGTTTCCTCTTTCAGCAAATCCTGCCAGCTCTGTGTCCTAAATTTATGACAATCAGTTTCTACTTCTCTCTAAGCTAGCGGTTGGCAAACCACTACCCACCTAGGCAGGCCAAATCCCCCATGCAACCTCCTGGGGTTTTTTTAAAATCATCCAAGAGCCAAGAAGGGTTTTTACATTTTTAGAGGGTTGTTAAAAAGAAGGAGGAGGAAGAGTCGGAGAGAGGGAAGAAGACTGTGCTGCAGAGAGTTTATGTGGCTCACCAAACCTGATATACTTACTTATTATCTGACCCTTTACAAAAAAAGCTTGCTTCTCTCACCTGAACAAGACAACTTTCCTACTATTGTCTTTACTTCCATCTGGGTCCCTCCTGTAATGCTGCTCCTTAATATACCTTGACCGATTTATTTTTTTAAATGTGAATCAACCCTGGCTGGTGTGGCTCAGTGGATTGAGTGCTGACCTGTGAGCCAAATGGTCGTCTGTTCGGTTCCCAGTCAGGGCACATTGCCTGGGTTGCAGGCACACAAGAGGCAACCACATATCTAATGTTTCTCTCCTTCTCTTTCTCCCCCTCTTACCCTCTCTCTAAAAATAAATAAATAAAATCTTTAAAAATTTTTAAAAATGGAAATCAGACCAATCAGAATAAAGCCCAAATACCTTGCCACAGCCCGAAGGCCACTGTGCTCTGGCTCCTGCCTATCTCTCTAATCTCATTTTCCCCAGTGATCACCTCCCACCAGACCTCCCTCCACCCCACCCCAGTACTCCTCCCACCTTCCAAACAGCTTAAACGCCTGCCTGCATCAGGGCCTTTGCATTTACCGTCTGCCTGGAGCTCTCTTGCCCAGAGCTTGTCCCATGGACTCTGGCCTCTGCAGGCTGCTCCTCATCATTCAGGTCCCGACTCCAGTCACTTCTGAGAGAGTCCACCCTGTAGAAGCAACCTTGTCCCTAGGTCGCTTTCTTTTTGCTTTTAGCTCTTTATATTTTTAAGTCATTTTTTATTTTATTTTTTTTTAAGATTTATTTATGTATTTTTTTTTAGAGAGGGAAGGGGGAGAGAGAGAGAGAGAGAGAGAGAGAGAGAGAGGGAAACATCAATGTGCAGTTGCTGGGGGCCATGGCCTGCAACCCAGGCATGTGCCCTGGCTGGGAATAGAACCTGTGATGCTTTAGTTCACAGCCCACGCTCAATCCACTGAGCTACGCCAGCCAGGGCGTCATTTTTTATTTTCAATTACAGTTGTCGTATTATGTTAGTTTGAAGTGTACACCTCAGTAATTAGACATTATGTAACTTATTAAGTAGTCATCCCGATAAATCTCATGCCCATCTGACACTGTACATTGTTATTAGAATATTATTGACTATATTCCCTATACCATACTTTACAACCCCATGACTATTCTGTAACTACCTGTCTGTACTTCTATCCCTTCACCTTTTTCACCCATCCCCCCAGCACCGCTCTCATCTGGTAACTGCCAAAATGTTCTCTGTATCTCTGAATCTGTTTCTGTTCTGCTTGTTTGTTTATTTTGATTTTTAGATTCAATTGTCAATAGATATTTTACGTATTTATTGTCATTTTATTGTTCATATTTTTTATCTTCTTTTTTCTTCTTAAAGAAGACTGTTTAACATTTCATGTAGTACTAGTTTGGTGGTGATGAACTGTTTTAGCTTTTTCTAGTCTGGGAAGCTCCCAAGGTTACTTTCTTTCTTTTAGTCTTATTTATTTATTTTAGAGAGAGGGAAGGGAGGGAGAAAGAGAGGGAGAGAAACATCACTGTGTGGTTGCC